CTCCATACCTGTCCCTTTCAATGATGTTCGAGGGATGATTGCGGCTTCCCCGCTTCTCTCCAGATGAGTATGCGATGAGAATCGCTACTCAGACTGAATCTGCTCTCATCTGTAAAGAGTACTCGTCCCATTCATTGTCTCTCCAATTCCGGTGTCCCGGCACCACAGAGAACGCCTTCGCGATGGGCAGGCGTTAGAGGTACATACCGTAAGGCGTCGTGCAAACAGACCACCACCGTGCAGTCTTCTGGCCACGGTAAAACGCGATATTGGTCGTCCAGTCGCCTGTGTCGTGCGTCTAGCGATTTCTCCCGCTGTCTGCCGCCTGTTTCTTCTGGCCTGTAAGGCAATATACCGGTCATCTGCGGGTGTGGTTCCTCGTGGACGACCACTACTAAACCCCCGGATAGCTGTTCCTGTAGTTTGAAATTGTCTCCAAAATCGTGAAACGATGCTGTGAGCAATTCCGAACTCTACAGCCACACTTGTCATACTGCGGCCTTCCTCCAACTTCCCAATGATACGACCTCGGGAAAAAGCATCCAGATGTCGTCTAACAGATTGATTATTCGCCATTTCTCGCTGAGGCAGCAATCGGTGTGATTTTAACTGCTATACGGCGTGCAATCTCTTTGCCAGAAATACTGATCTTACACCGACAACATGCTTTATACTACTCAGACACTCCCCCATTACGTCTACCTGCATATCTGCGCATGTGCTACCGTACATCACCTTACTTAATTTCCTGATTGGTCTTTTTGTCCGCTCTGCCTCTTCGTTCAGCTGATATGCTAATTTTTCGACTTCGTCCTTAATTTTTGCACACCAGTGTATATTATCCATCTCTTCGTAAGGCCCACTTGTTAAGTGCCTCCATAATAAAGTGACCACCGCTTCAGATCTTAGTAGTAGCTAACGCCTATAAAGGCTAGTGGCTCTCCACTGGGTGAGGAGAAATTATCAAAAAAAAAAAACTATCACGATCCAAAACACTTATCCATGGTTATTACACTTTTTCTTTGTATGGTAATCTTAGTAGTCCGTACTATTTGGTTGAGTCGCTTCACAAAACGCAAAACCTTTATACCGTATAATCCATCGTATAACGCACATCTATAATTTCAAACTACATTTTTTAGCTTTTAGGTATATTCGCCGTATAACGCGCTCTTTTCTTTACGAAAAAACCTGAAAGATACGTGTGCGGTGCACTTATCTTTTAGGTTTTCGAAAAATGGTATACTGAACTAACAAAGCGATAAGAGGAACAGTGTATGGGGGAAGGCTTGAGGGAGTAAATAATTCTGCAAAGAGAGTGCGTTATAGCCAACGGAGGTGTGCACAAGAATGTTATTCTAGGGTTCGAGGAAATGGGAACATTATTTGAGGTAAGAATGCACTTCAGACCCGAACGATTTCGCGTAGTTAGATATTTTTCTCTTTCTGCAGTTATTTGGAGCCATGGTTTTGAAATGAACATCGAAGGCAAGGAAGAATAAGGAGGCCAAATGCGTCATGGCAGAGGATAATAAAAGCATGGAATGAAATTAAACTCGATATAATTCAAAAGTGATTAAAAATTTAATATATCTAACAATCTAGATAGGGCGGAAGATGATTATTTATTTATGGATCTCAATAACAGTGCTGGTGAAGATGAAACAGAATTCGATGATGTGCCTGAAGATATAACGGAAGACGAATATGAACTTTTCATGTTATCAAATAAGGAAAGTTTGTAGTTCGTAAGGAACGATATTAAACAAACAGCATTTAGGTTAGATGTAAAAATATAATTCTTCTATGCTAATATTTTCCTTACTTTTAACTTATTATTATAACTTTTATTATTCGACGTATAACATGCACCCGTAAATTTCCATCTTACATTTTGCATTAAAAGTTCGCGTTATACGCCGGAATATACGGTACTTACATACGAAGCTCAGTTTTTAAAAAATTATTATGACAGACTCGATGAACTTTATAAATATTCTGTGTGGTATAATGGAATGTCATATGAGAGCTGTTGTAAGAATGACAAAACATTTTCAGTTCAAAAGAGAAATAGGGGATGTTTAACAACATGAGAAAGGTAGTACAATATTTAATTTACCATATGAACTGAACATTACTCTTTTCTTATTATCTGTTATCCTATACGTATTAACAAATGCCTCTTGCAAAGAAAACTATAAATAGTAACATAAAACAATATTTTTTAACTGTAAACTAGCTGCTATAATAATCATTCGTCTCTACCGCAGAATATCACTATCCGTTTTTAAAACTAGTCTTGTAGCGGTGCATGCATTTAACTAGCAAACACGTGTAACAGAACACATATTGTATCAAATAAAACCAAATAATATAAACTGAGATATGTTATATTTTTTGTACATTCTAGTTTTAAAAATAAGATTTGATTTGCTAAATGAAAAACTTAAGGGATAAAAAAATTTTGTGTGATATTATGATTGGGGGGTGGGGCCAATCAGTTCAAATGAGAGACAAACCCTGACTTAATGCAGCACGTCTGGTCATTTTAATATTATATAAAATTACTATGAACTAACCAGACCAGGTCAGCATAGCAGTGTACGTTTCACGATGTATCGCAAAATGCTGGCATACATTTTTCTGTTCTTTTTCAGCTTTTCACAGTTCAGCATATCAATGTTCAGTTTTCTTACTAAGAAGGCTTTACAAATCTTTTTTGTCTTTTACTATTAATTAATTTTTGTCTTTTGTTATCGATTAATATTTTTGTGCTTACTTTATTTATTGAATATCACGTTCTTGTCGCTTACACTACATAAAATTCGATTCAACAGCAAAATCACAAAATGTTTAAAAACAGCATATCTTTAGAATTTCCGATACACAGTTTCGTGCGCTGAAAATAAAAAAATATTTTATTCCGTAAAGTGTGTTGTCACTGCTCCCTTTGAAATCGTTGTTTCTTAACCAAAAATTCGCTAAAGTTTAAAAAATAAGAAATAGATACTAAAACAAACTCGTAATTCAAAATTCAGGCTTCCAGATGCCTACGTTTGGGTAGAGGACTACGTTATCCAAAATTGGATGACTCTAGGTACTGCTGTTTTTTCACAGAACGAGAAACAGCGCATACGTTCATGCAGATTCTCCATTATTTATTTATTTATTTTTATTTTTTTTTTTTTTTAGATATAAGCTAGGGCGATTTTTTTGTTAATTCTCTTATAATCGAAACCAAACACTTTTATTTCAAACAAATGCAACTCGGGTCAGCTTTACAACTTAATACCTTTAGCCTAAATGAAATCAAAAATATTTTCGAATTTACCACGAAAAAATATAATATTTATCCTTTTTGGTAAGAATAATTTATTTTCTCTCTCCTCGACGTGCGTAATCCTAATTCCTACGTTAAAGTATTATGCGAAAATTATGCATATACTTGGCGAATAGAATCTCATAACCTACACCCTGGAGGCATTCTTTTATAGCAGCGAAAAAATAAGCAAAAAGAAATAAAATCATTGAAAGGGCCTGTTTCTGTTAAAGCCGCGTATCCAAGATATTGATAAAGAAAATAATATTAGCGTAAAATCATGCAATGCTTTCGCAAATTCCTAGCATATGAGGTCAAAAGTACTTATGTTAATACATTTTTAATATTCAGGTATGCCATACATTTCCGAAAAATGAAAGATTTAATTTTTTATTAACTTTATGTTTCTCGTAACAGATTAAACAGAATAATTTTCGCTAAAAAATAATTTCCCGTTTCTGCTTCTTATTTTATTTAATGAAGTGATTTTAAAAAATATCAATATGTACAGCTTTCATTACACATTTTAAGTTGTTGTTAAACAAATACTCTATTTCTATTTACGTTAATAAATAACTTTACTCCGGATTTAAGTTTTTATTATAATGTAATAAATGTGTAAAAGCCCAAACCACTCGAGAATCCGCATTTTTCGAAATTGATATAATCATGTCACAAGCAGGCAAGGAGGAGAAGCGACTGAAAGTAGAAATATTAATTCCTGCTTGAAAATTATTATATAATACAGGGAAGGTTTAATAAAGAAATTGAATTTTGTCACAATAAATAAAATCATACGAGAAATGCAAAAATTTTCCAAGAAGCGCAGCAAAGTAAAATCTTATTTTTTTTTTTTTTTTTTTTTCTGAAGCAGTTCCTCAGAGCCCACCAACAACCGAGTGGGAAGACCCACTCAACACTGGTACTACGGTCCGGAAGTTGATATGAGCCAACTTCCCTTAGAAAGTCCTCTACGAAGGCATACCTTCCCTTAGGCAGATAGGCCTGCCTCCAGTGCTTTGCCATAACAAAATAAACCAAAACCAATCAGTCCGGGGCTCGAGTCCAGGCGAACGGGCTGGCTGCATGGGCGTTTTCGTGGTGGTTTTGCCTATGTGTAATGTGGATACGAGCCAGTTTCCTTTAAAAAGTCCTCCATGGGGTATCCCACCCTTTCCGTAAAGTGTCAAGTGGCAGAGCTGATAAAATAAAAAAGAGGTGCAGCAGAGGGTTCAATAAAAGTCTGTTTATTTTCTCATATTTCCTAAACGAAGACATTTCGTCAAAGAACTAAAATTAAGTAATTAGTTTATGTATATAAAATTCTTTTACTTATATTCTTACACCTCGTATTTCATAATATTCTTATTTCAAAACAATCTCAAACATTACATTACTGGGATTACAACCTTCAAACGTTGTAAATTCATTAATTTGCGCTCTATTGACTTAATGTCTAGAACCATTTTTATAAGTGGTTTCATAATCCTTCAGCATGATTAAATGAAAATATGTGGTTTCAATTTCTCTTTTAATGATTTTCGACAGAAGTAAAATTTTTATGAGAATCATGCTGATCAACTTGGAGTCGCATACGAAAACATGCTGTCATGCTTCGTCAGCAACGGCATGGTTCCAAATTTTAATCATGTAACTGATGCTTGAAGCGCTCTGTCGACTATTTCATAGTGTTTCCATGACATTTCATACGCTTTCATCACCAAACATTATCTAATCATGTAAAAATTGATGACATATACAAAAGCTTTCAAAATCGAGAAGCGATCAAAATTTACTTGAAATTTCATGTTTTAGACTGTGGTGTCTAGTTTCTCTTTGAGAATTTATAATCCAAGATAAACTAAGCCCAATAAATCGAAAAGAATACTGCTGTATTTAAAACAGCTTTTAATGAAGACGAATACTTTAACCAAAATTATTAATCTACTAATGGTGTCCTTTTCAAACTTTCAGTTATTATATTAAGTTCACTTTTCGTTTTATGTTAGGATCACAGAATTCACCGATATTGCCTCAAAATCCAGCTGAATACAACTGCATTATACAAGAGCTTAAAGTACGAACTGAAACTGAAACAAAATGAGAAGTAAAACAAAAGAGAATTTGCTCGGCAGAATATTTCTCACTTTGAGTCAGCTCTTGCACCTGGCGTTATCTCTCGTTAGGTGCCTTCATGACCACTATCAGCAGATGTTTGTGATGTTTTAAAGGTAAAATTTTATATCTTAAATATTCTCTCTACCATTATTTCAATAACTCATTACCAGTGTTAAAGTAATATAATGTTTTAAAGGTAAACTTTTACTTTTTTACTCTACTTCTGAATATATCTCAGATTCCTTTTTTTTTTTTTTTTTTTTTTTTTTTCCAAAGTAAGAAATTATTTAGCAAGCAATAACAAACAACATAATTCTAATTATCTGAATTGTTACTTGGAATTCGAATTATTCGGATATCTTGTTGTTCTGTCTAGAAATAATTGAAATTACGATTGATAATTTACTATTACGTATTTTTAATTACTTTCATCGATATAAATAACTTGAAAAGAATAGTACTGAACAATAAGCATTATATTTTTAATTTTGTCATCCTAAAGCAATTTAAAAAAATTTATTTCAGTTGATTGAAAAATTTTTATGAATTTCATTTTATGAGAAAAAATTATTATTTTATTTACTTTAAATGCAGTAAAAATAACAACATGATTGTGTTTAGTTTTAGTGCTTGTTTTAATTAAATAACAGCGTTTTTACTCAAAAACATAAATGTATTTTACAAAAAAAAAATTAAACTGTTAGTTTGATAAATAAAAAATATCTTAGTTTTGGTGTGCTTAACAGAAATATAAAAATATTTATTTTAAACTACTTTTCTTTTATTTTTAACGTATCAGCATAATTTGTTACTGTATTTTTGAAAATAAGATAAGATAAATGGAAAATTAAAATAGTCCTTTTTCTATCATAATAAATATGTATTTGACCCGGAAATTTAAAACCCAATCCGATTTTTCAATTATTCAGATGCGCTATACATACACAGAGTTTTACTACTCTTTGTTACCTTCCAAAATGCACTTTATAATGAGCTGTTAACACATTAGGACGTTTCCACTTTTCGTCAAAACTGTAATCTTTAATTTGCCGAATAACATCTGTATTTGCCTTAGTAATTAATTTTACTGGTTATAATAAAAGTGCAAAATGTAATAATTTCTCTACATAGTGGCTTTGCGGTATGGGGGTACTTAAAATACTATCGAACCAAAAGCTCACTTTAGAAATTGATGGCAGAGGAATAGAGAGGGAAGGAGACTACTTAGCTGTAAGTACCCAGCCATTTGGAACAATACCACCGTTTCTCTAAATATCCGTATTTCAGTAGCAGAAAACTGGAAGTATAACAAAGATTAGACCATTTTATGGCTAAGTAGCTAAAATTACTTAATTGCAAACAATTTTCCTGCGACTCATTTCAAGTTGCCTTTTTCTAACATCTAAAATGCACTTTTGTTCCCAAGATAATTTGTTACTAATTAATAAGTTAAATCTAATATCTAATGAGTTAAATTTCTTATTACTAATTAATTAAGTTAAATCTAAAATTATGACAAGAATTAAGAAGAAAATCTTAAGATATCAAAGCAAATATGACAAGTACAAAAAGAAAAATGATTAAGTATATTGCAGTAATGAAATATCACTTTGAAACCAAACGAAAATCAATAAATTTTCAAAACAGTCAACTTTTAAAGTACGAGTATATGATTCTTATTTAATAATTCGAACAGTTCCCAAATTTTTCTCTGTATTTAATCGAATGCAGTATGTGCATGCTAACAACACGAAACTAGGAACTTTTCGTATCATTTCAGAAATTCTGACAGTAGAAATTGGTCAAAAATCATTTGACTTAAAATTAGCAGCAGAATAGTTAAATTTTCATCAACAAAGCAACATTTTATTACTAATATATAAAAGTGCATCTATTAAAAAATTATTAGTATTGAATAAACAATCCTTTTTTATAGCCTTTTTTCGCTAATTTAAATAAATTCTCACACACATATTTATTTACTGTCGTTTTGTTTAATTTCAGAAGAAAAAATGGAAAGGCCCGGCTTCCGTAAAAATTTCAGTTAACCAATTTATCTCTATTTTGATTAAAATAGAAAGAAATATTTTAATTAATTTAATTATAAATAATTACTTAATAATTTTATTTCAGTATTAATAAAATAATTAAGTAATTTAAATCTACAGAAAATACATAAATAAAATAAATAACGTATCCTTGAATGCTAACTACTCGCTTATTTAATCAAATTTTCAATGAAATTGTCCAGTACCCATTGCAGGATATCTAATGATGTAATTACTATTGGTTGTGTGTGTTGTTTGTAAAAATCTGATTTGTAGGGAATGTTTTGGATTAATTACTGTGCACTAATCAAGCCTGATAAAGAAAAACCAGATTTTACCTTCAGTTCTTAAACAGCGATGCTAATATATCCATGTAATAAATGTTTTTCATACAAATGCAGATATTTTTAAGTGGCTTAAATATTCAAAAGCTTTGCTATTAGAAAATTTCATCTGGTTTTAATTTCGTATGTTTAAACTGATTTAAAAATAAATACATAAAAAAAATAAACGTATTTATACATTTATTAATCGTAATTAATTATAATTAAAATATTTTAATGTATTTCACTACTTCCTTCCTTCTCATAAAATTTTTCTTTAGTCTCTTATTGAACTGTACAAATTTATAATAATTTATCATTTTTATTTAAATATAATTTTAATATCATTAACAAATTTATAGGATTCAAATTTTCAGTTAATAAATGACACAAAATTTTCTCAGTTAACAAGTAGTTAGATTGTCTAATTTTATTTTATTTTTATTAATATAACTTTCGAAATTTCATCTGCTAAACATATTTTAATTATAAAACTTTAACCTATTATATATCAGCAAGTTTTGATTTTTTATTCCATTTGACTTTATTTTCCCCTATTTGAGATCTCAACTGCAAAATGCTAAAAAATACTCATTAATTTTTTTTTAACGTTTTTAACCAGCTGCGTAACTTTTATTTATAGTAGAATTAAATTAACAAGTTTTAAAACTCTTAAAATTAAAATGAAAGAATCTATATTAGAACTTAACTTACCTAATTTTTCCCAAAAGTTACTTTATCTAAAGACTCACACACAAGCACACATTTGTTGTAAAATCCATGACAGAAGCAGTTTTGCAGTACTTAAATTAACAGCGGAATCACGCTGAGGGAATTCCATTTGTGTATGTCTCACACTTTACGATAAAAGATCGTCTGCTGTGTACTATCCATTCGTGAGTCAGAACAGCTGCGCTTGGAGACCGTTTGTCTATAACTGCTTTTTCCCCTTCACATGTTTCGAATTCCCTCCCATCCAATGAAACAAAGACACACAAAAAATTTCTAGTGGCGTCATCTAGCTGCAATAAGAGGAAGCTAAACAAAATTATGTGATAAGTGTTAAAATGACTTGAAAAATATTTCTTGTTAAAAACCCATAGGCTTATTATTTAACTAACTATTACTTTAACCCAAGCTAAATATAAGAGTTAATTTAACTGTGTTAATTTGAAAAGCGAGCTATAAATTGCTTAATAATTAATTTTCTCTAAATTGATTTAACCTTTTTGATTTAACTTAGTGCAACATAACTGTAAAAAGAAATTTTCGCGCTAATTTTAAATGCAAAAAAATTACATTAAAAGGTTCAAGACGACTTAAAGACTTAAATTTAAAAAATTATTTAATGGTATTATGAAATGTATACTTCCAGCGTTTCCATAGCACATCTAATGTTGTCGGTAAAATATTCAGTGTTAAAAGAGGAGGTGAAAAGACAAAGTTTAAAACGAAAATAATCGCTATTAATATGTAAAATTCTTGTTAGTGATATTTGCATTTGTTTATTATATCTTTATGCATAATTCTTGTGATTTAACGCAAAAACTATTGGAGCTATCGACTTAAAAATTCACAAGCAGTTATAAAATAGGTTGGCTAAGGAAATACATCGCCGCTTACGATCATAAATTTCAATTCTCTTCTGGAAGGATGTCTGGAAAACTATTCTTATTATACTAAAATGAAGTCTGTGAGTTTTTAATAGGAAGAAAAAATGTCAGCGTCTATTACGCAACTCCGTTTTCTGGCATCTGTCGAGCACTTTCATCAAAAAGATACTCGAGAATTCCAGCATGATTAAGTACGTAATGAATTTTAAAAAAATGTTCCTGCAGATGTGAAAAGAAAAATTAAGTAAACAAAGATCTATTTAAAGAATGATTTATCTATGAATGAATCAAAAGATATTCTAAAAATATTTCGAATTTCTTTCCGAATATCAGTGTAAATGCATGAATATAGCAGCACTAGCGTGTTTTATAAAACTGCTATTATTATAATCATTAAGAGGAGATTCAATCTTGGAGATAAAAGCCTCTTTGGGGTGATTTTTATTATGTTTCTAATTTCAAAATTTTATACTTTTAAGTTTTTATTTTTATTCTTATATTCTCTTTGTTAATTAATTGTTCCATCTTCATATTCTTAGCTTTGTGACTTCAAGTAACTGTAACTGATGAAAAAGGGACATTTATGGTGTAAGTAAATATAACTAATGAACAAGTGACGTTTCTAGTTTCAACTTATCAAATCAAATTCAGTAATTTTGAATTTGCTGATAACTTTCAATCTAAATTTTAAAATTGGTTTGGTTTATCTTTCTCAGTTTTCTGCTATATTTACTTTGATTTGATAAAAGTTGATTTCTTAAATCTTCTTTCTTGAATAAATATCTTCGCGTTTTTGGATAAAACTACATGAAAATTAACATTTTTTTATTTTATTTATTTCCGATCTTTTTCTCTTTATTTACTTATTTACAGCAGCATTCCCAAGGGCCTACCACGGTTACATGAAACTACGGATAACAACAGAACAAGATAGTCATATAATGTATATAAATTCTGTGAAGTTTTATAGGGAAATTTACCACAACAAGGGATTATCAACACTAATGAATGATAATACAATATACCATATATTATTTTACTACAGTGTACTGTTAATATATGGGTTGTACAGAAATAATTGACACAACGGCTTTCGCAACGAAACTATAGCACTATACGAAGGGAAAACAAGTGAAATAAACACAAGGGGACGTGAGCTACTCAGAATGAATAGATGGAGCTGGTCGCAAGCCCGAACTGTATAAGTCAGTGCCCGTCCCTTTCGCCGTCGTCATTGAAAGAGTGGACAGCAATGATGGAAGGTGATTTATCACGGTCAACGTTGGACAGCGTGGTTCCTATGGAAGGAAAGGATACAGGGTAGTGAGACCGATCGTCGCATGGTGTCGGTGTACGCGAACAAAACACTCTCAAGGCGTACCTTATCCCGTTGGTTGGCCAAGTTCAGCAATGGTGTGGAGATCACAGCCAAAGATGTCAGCACGGGACGATCAGATGATCAGCAACATCACATACAGCAGTAAATGTCGCAGTCGTGTCGGATTTGATCATGCCGAACAGGCGCATTACGTTCAACAAGATGCAGCAAGAGACCGAGGTTGCGCAAGGATCATTGCAGGCGATTGTGCATGGTGATTTGTACAAGGCAAATGTGTGTGCAAAGTGGGTGGACTCGGACCTCGAACCAAGACCACGGACTACGCCATGCTTAACAACATGAAGGACGCAGTCAGGGGCCAACAGTTTGAATCTTCTGCAGAATTGCATGCAATTGTCCATAGGTGGTGCACCAACACACTGGTTAACCAAAACCCTTCGGGACCTCCAGCCAGATGGCAGAAGTATATTGATATGAGCGGGAATTATTTCTAAGTGATGTCCTACTATCAGTTTTTTGTTAATAAATTGTATTCCGCTTTGTATATGACAGCATTTGTGTCATTCATTTCTGTAACCTAAATACAATAATGCAAATTTTTTTTTCTGTATTTTAGTACCTTCTTTCTCTTCCTGAAATGTGTTGAGTAAAATGAGTTTGAAAATTCAAGTTGATCTGTAAAAGAGGAGTTATTTTCAACTATCAGAATAAATTGTGCTATCATCTGCAATGTTTTCAATAATTTTATTAAGAAGGGTAGAGCCAGTTCTATTAGGAACAGTGACAACAAATGAATCTTTCATGCTCATTATTTTAGAGATATAAAAATCTAAAATAATTTTTCATGCTCATTATTTTAGAGATATAAAAATATAGATTGAACTTATATGAGCGACTGCTGTTGAAGGAAAAGAGTTGCTTAGGGCTCTGTCTTTGTCACTGTATGTTTGTAGGCTAAGCCATGTGACTAGGGTAAGTACGAGAATTTTCCATATTGGTATGATCAGTAAATTTATTTTCCCAGCCAAACAACTGGTGGCGCTTCAGTATTCTATTCTAAAATTTAATGTGGAATTTAATTCCAGATATTGGAATTACCTAAAATAAATGTCAGTCAATATGTTTCAGTTAGAAAGCATAACAAAAGGAAATTTCTTGCAAATACTAACCTTTAGGCTTAATAAATATAAATTTGAATTTTTCCTTTGTGTTATTATTCTTACTGTTTATGTAAGCTTTCGCAAGTATTCAGCGAGTGAAATTTAAAATTCAGTTTAATTTTGTTTTGTTTTGTTAAAAATGTTTTAAAATTTTGTTTAAAAAATTTCTGGCCCTTCAGTTGCTTTCAGGTCATGCATTTGGCCCGAATGCAATTTGAGTTTGACATCACCGGCTTACATCACCAAATGGAATGCTAGGACACCGGCTTACATCACCAAATGGAATGCTAGGAAAAAACTTCCCACCTGTAGGCTGATGCATCCTCAAGTTTTATTGCGATATCTTTTATGATGGCTTTATATTTGTAAATTAGTGAAACTCGGTGCTTTTTCTGTGATGATCCTCTTTATTCTTCCCGTTTTTCTCAACATTTCCTGTTTCAGCTGCGAAATTTTTTCATTTTCTTTTTTCCCTCAAACTTGACAGAAATTATAATTTTGTCTTTGTCTGGTGAAAAATGAATTATCTCCGTGTCCTCTTACTCCGAAATGTGGGAAATATCATTTGTTTCCTATGAGGTGCATTTATACCATATTATGAAGTTAGTTTTAAAAAATGATACTACTAGTAAAATTATAGTCTATTTTACTGGTCTATCCTAGTGCTGTTTGTTCACAAGACTACTAGTTATTCCCCATCCCAGGTGTTCTTTAGTTGTGAACTTCGTCTGTCTTGTAATCTCTTGTTCTGTTGCCCTTCAGATGCGCCTTCATAGCCTAGGGAGTACATTCGAAGTTTTGAGGCACGCTTTGAAGCGGTGTGCAGTTTTTCACGTAAGCCAGTCAACTTGGCTGCGGAGATGAAGACTCGATATGACGCGAGAGCTGCAGGACCTCGATTCAACAAAAGTGACAAGGTGTGGTTATAGAATCCGATTCGACGGAAAGAACTTTCTCATACCCTACAGTCACCTTTGGACGTTTCTTACACAGTCCTAAACAGCTTGAACGATGTCGTAGTTCGGATTCAGTAAGTCACCAAATTCTAAGCCTAAAGTCATTACGACAGACTAGCCCGTTACAGTGGCGATAGTAGTTATAGTGTATATTATATAAATAGTATATTAAGATCATGGTTTTATGTGTGTATAAATTTGCAAATTCGTGCATTTGTTTATTCATTTAGTATTTGATTCCTTTTATGTTATTTATTGAAATTATTGCTTTATTATTGCATTGATTTTCCTTAGTTGTAAATATGGCTTACTGTCAAGGGACTGAGTACTTCAGTATGAACGCCACCACAGCTCCAGATCTGGCTGTTTTTAACTGCCGCCAAACTACACCTAACATTTTTGCGACAAATCATAAATTAAAACACTTTCAAAAATCAAAACACTTTCAAAAATTAAAACACTTTATTTAAAATCAAAGTAGTCAATCGGATTTTGGTGGAAAATGGGCCGATATAGAGTTTAACATAGATTCAACAACAGTCTCTATTTTCTTTGACTTGATGCTGTCGCTATATAAACTCTGCGGCTAGCCTATATTTGACGGTGCCCTCGCCAAGTTGTTGTTTCATTTATGGGAACCTGAGTAAAGAGTGCCCGTTGGATTATCGCCAAGTTGTTGTTTCATTTATGGTAACCTGAGTAAGTTGAATGTTATGAAAACACTATTATGACGTAATTGGTTGCGTGAATTTGACTGATGGGAAAATATTTGTAAGGGCTTGTTTGTGTGTTGGATGTTGGTTAGGAAGTTGCTTATTTTGTGGTTTGCGCTGTAAAACTGCTGAATATGGTAAGATTAATTTGTAATTTCTATAGGATTTGGAACGAAGGGGGGGGGGAAGCATTAATTGACTAGTGTCTAAATGAAGGTTTACTTAGTAGCAATTATAAGTATCCGCATATGTTCTAACGTAAAGATCGTTCAGATGGCTTTGAATGGATTTGTCGCAAGAAATGTTCAAATGGTCACCATATAAAGCGTTCCATTAGAAAGGGAACATGGTTTGAGGAAAGTTTTTGGATGTTGTTTATGAATTTTGTGTACTACAGACTGAATACAGAGAAATTTCTAAATAAGGTAGGTGGCTATTTCCTTTGTGTAGTGCGTAGTGCTTTTTTATGTTATTTCATTGTTTGATTTAAAACGCAGTTTATTGAGATTATATATATTTTTGTGCGCAATGCCGAGTTTGTGCAATTGATGTTTTTTTTTAAGTGAAAATAGGTCAATGTGTACATGGATACCGAGTTTGTGCATTTCTTTGACTTGTTATTTTGGCTTTTGTTTAGCGGCGATTTTTGGCTCGAAAACTGCCGCTAAACAAAGCTAAAATAACAAATCAAAGAATTGCATAAACTCTGTGTCCATGTACCGCCAAAAATCGCCAAGAGTGCACCGTCAAATATAGTTTTACCAACTCTGCTAAATAGCATTCTAAATGATGTCTCGCTATCCCCCTATGTCTCTTGTTCCTCCATTTAGCACTGCCCCACATTCTCTCAACTGTTTGTGTATGTATCAGGATCAATAAAATTGTATTTATGATTAACTTTAGCATGTAGGAATCCTTTTTCTATTTTATTTGTTTGGTAATCTTTCCAACTGTCAGAATAAATTTTGCTACCATCTGCAATGTTTTCAATAATTTTATTAAGAAGGTTAGAGCCAGTTCTATTAGGAACAGTGACAACAAATGAATCGGTACAACTCTGATATACGCCCTAATTTCACCAAATGTGGCGATATGTATTCTGCGCTGGTTTTTGGCACGATTGCGTGTTCTATGGCAACCCTGTTGACGTTGAAAAATCTTTCGCTAGAGCTCTTTGATTCGCGTCTGTGTCTGAGAAGATGGGAGGGAAAGATAAAATGGTAGTTGTTGAATTGAAGTTCGGCAAAAGGAAATATCATTGTGGTCATCCTGTTGAGGGGTAGTGGGTATTTGGAGGGGTGAAAAGAGGATCTGGGAGATTATTTTTAATGGCTGTGCATGATAGAAGTAGGGATTTGTGATTTTACTTATTTGTGAACCATAGTATGAATTTTCTGGAGTGTGTCTGGCTGTCATGTAAATACGATAGTGATTACGTGCCGGCATGATAAAGGCACTATGAAATTGGTATTTCTGCTGTTCGAAAAAGCATTAATTCAAGGTAAGTGATTTTTTTATTTTATTCTTGTTCTTATTTTGTAGAATGTTATGTTCATTGGTTCTTTAGTATGAATTTCTGTCGTTATTGTTGTTTTAAAACGGAACGCTGCTTACATGGTATTATTTGAAATTTATTGTTGTTGTGTTATTTTATTAAAGTGAGGTGTGCGTAGAACGTAGATTCGTTCTTTACCTAAATTGTGCAATTCGTAGATTTTTTTAAGTTTAAACAGGATGCTGTGTACATGGTATTCTTTGAAATTTATTATTATTTATTTTGAAATTTATTATAATTTATTGTTATGTTAATTTATTAAAGCGAGGTATGCGTCGTTCGTAGATTTGTTCGTTGCCTACATTGTGCCATTCGTAGATGTTTTTTTAAGTTAAAACATGTCGCTGTGTACATGGATTTTTGTCAAATATATTTGGTTAGAAACTTTACGTTTTTGCTATCTAAATTTTTTGTTTTTGTTTCGGATTTTTAGCTTAAGTCGTGTGTTCAAAACGTAGTTTTTGCATGTGCGAAAACAGCGTTTTTGGAGACATTTTAGGCGTAAAGTTCGAAATGTAGACAAAACATTTAGATAGTAATATGGCAGCGTGAAGTTTTTCGCCAAAATGTTTGGCGAGAAATTTGGCGACTTGAGGGCGCATATCAAAGTAGTTCCAATGAATCTCTTGTTTCTCTACATATACCACCAAGCAGCCACTGTTCGGGTAATACTCGACCACAGTTATTTTTACGCTTAGTAAAACTTTCATCAATTTCCACCATGCAATTTGGTTTACCTACCTTCTTGTTTGGTTTATTCTCCATATCCAAGACACAAAATTCACGCATGTAATTGTTCCATCTGTAACAGTTTTATCCGATAAATCAAGTTGCTTTTCACAAAATTTAATCGACGTCAACTCCTCGCATCAGCAGTACATGAATCTCAAAGCTGAACAAAATGGAATTCTGCTTCCTTCAAACCAGTTGTCTTTTCTAAGTCCCACTTGCTGATCACACTGTCTTAAATTAGATTTGCAAAACTTACGTTTACCAAAATAAAGTTTCATATTATGCGAATTGGTACATTTTCGTTTTTTTGGTAAAATATTTCGCTCCAGAAAAAATAAAATAGCATCTTCCTCTGTGTTTGGCAAATCCCAAAGACGCATTTTCGTAGCACTAAAAAATGGCATCAAAAATCTGCA